TGTCTAATAATTAATTGATCTATTAGATATAAAATTTAATTTACGTGGAAGGAAATAATATTATGGGCAGGAATAATAATATTAATTTTTATGAATGAAATAATAAATAAAGAAATAAAATTGAATTTAGGAGAAGGTCCACGTGGAAATTAGGGCTTGGTAAGAAATAGTTGTAATAATCGAAATTATAAAGAGTTGTCGTGCAAGTTAATAATTTGAAATATATACCTTTCCTTTGAATTGTGAAATTACTGTTTTGGGTAATTCATAATTCACTCCTCACCTACGTATACTATATTTCTGTTAAGTAATAATTATATTAATATGTGTATAATTAGCAAAATATAATGAAAATGTTACCCAAAATATCAAAAACATTTTGCTAATTAAATATATATGGATTCACTTCTACGTTTAGAATTAAAAATTCATATTATATATATATATATAGGACGAGTGATCGAAGATGTTTGTGGGTTGGATTGAGAAATATATGATAAAATGCAGTAATTAAGTCACTCTTTGTAAGAACCCAGATCCACCACTAGTAAATATTGTCTACTTTGAGTTTTTGCTTTCAAGTTTTCCCTCAACGCTTTAAAACGCGTTTATTAGGGGAAGGTTTCCACACCCTTATAAATGATGTTTTGTTTTCTTCCCAACCAATATGGGACATCACATTTTTATTAAGATGTGATTGTATCCATTATTTACACAGAGTGTTACAAACATAACATTTATATATGTAGTAGGTGTGGTAATAATATTTTTATTTTTGGCATGGACCACGTTAAACATTTTAATGGATGAATTATTTTATTTTTATAAAGGAACGACCACTTTATATATTATTTATTTATTTATTTATTTTTGCATTTGTCATGTTGTAATAATGTGGAAGCAAAGTTAGGAAATAGGAATTGGAAAATTAAAGGGAAAGTAATAAAAAGAAAAAAAAAGAAAAAAAATGAATAATTTGAGTTGACATAAAGTTTGTTAAGAGGAAGTGATTGGAAATTGTGAAGGATATGCTTTAAGAAGTGGCATTCTCCCCCACACTGGAGATGGGCCCTACACTATTTTTTTTTAAAATAATAAATAACTATTATCATTAAATATACCTATTTTAAAATTTAAATTCTTTATTATTAAACAATTTCATTTTTTTTTAATTATATTACTATTTATTTATTTTTAATTTGGCTTTAATTGTTTTTATAAAAATATTAGAATTCCAAAACCACTCTGATTTTTTTTTTTAATTTAAAAATTGTGTTTAATTTCTTATCCTTTCTTAAATTTATATTTTTTTAATAAAATATTTAAAAATTACTTTTTTAAAACTCAATTTCTTAAATATCAAAAATCAAAACTATATGATTATACAACATAATCTCAATTGTTTACGTAAATTTTTGATTTTATGTTTAATTAAGTAAGAATTTTATGTTAATTTAAGTTAAAATTTATAATTTAACTTTTCTTATAAAGAAAAAAAAAATAAAAGCAACGTGGATTATTTTTCCATATTTTCCCATCTATTCTCTAGCATTTAAAACTTCGAAAAACAAATAACAAAAGTAATTAGATTAATTAAATTATGAACATTTAAAATAATAATTAACATCATGAGAAAATTAAAAAGGATGATTTGGTCGGTAAAAAACCAAAATGATGGCGATGATGGCATTGGATACGTTGTTTATTATTGGCAACAGCGGTTGTGTGTCACAGTTGTGAGTTTATATGCGTGTTCCACGTTGTTCTTCATTTCATTGAACTTAGATTTTGTGTTCTTAATCTATTTGATTCGAATATGAATTTAATTATTGTTAAATTCATGTAGTCGAAGATAATCATCCATCCATATTATAGAAATGTTTATTTAATCTACCGAACATGAAATCTCTATTTAAATATAAAAAAAGGAAAGAAATGAAGAAAGATTTCTCTCCGACCTAACCTTACTTTTTATATATGAATACATCTGTCTAACCTATAAAATTATTATATTTTTTTCTTATAAAACATTATTATTGATTTTTTTTTTAAAACAAATAGTTTTGAATATATATATAAAAAAAGTCCTCCACGTATCCAGAGCCTTCACAAAAATAAATGAAAATTTTCACAAAAATAAAAATTAAGATAGAGGTAGAGACCGAAACAGAAAATGCTTTCCGTCCTCGACCCATGAGTGGGTCAATGAAAAGTGTAGTGTAGGTAGCTAAGACCAAATTAAACTAGTTCATCATTGTTGAAGGGTCACGTGTGTCTCCTTCCCAGCAAACCATCTCCATTTCTATCCATTATTGCCTTTTCTTTTGCTTAAATTCTTCCCCAAATCTTTTTTTTTTTAAATAATGTAGTCTCGATCCTTTTAAATATATAACCAACGATCCCTTTTACATTTTAGTATGCATGTATTAGCATAATTTCGTATAAAACTAATGAGACATTCTCGTGGCCACTTGCATGTAAGAAAGCCAACCACCACATAAGCTAAAAAAACAATAACCATACGCCAAATCAGAAGTGATTGGCTCCTATTCTAGTATGGATTGTGAAAATTTATAGATTGTACTAGTAGATATGGTCTTTTTTGTACTTTTCCTCAAAGTTTTTTAAATGTGTTGATTAGGGACGGTTTTCACACGCTTATAAAGAATGTTTTATTCTCCTTTCCAATTGACGTGGGATCTCACAACCAATCTAGGTGGATCTTCTTGCACGTTTAGAAATATCTTAATTAATTGAATTGGTACGAAAAAGACCCAATCTTCCTTCTTTTTACTTTTCAATCTCCAAACTTCAACTATAAAACCTAAACATCTCTCCCACCCTCCACACCCCAACAATCATAAACCGCAAAACGGCCAAAAGAAAAGAAGTGTCCATTGCAGAAGCAGGCATGGTGTCTGAAAAGCTTCACCAATGGAAGGAGAGGAAGGTTTGTGTAATAGGAGCAGGCCCTTCAGGGCTAGTGGCAGCCAGAGAGCTAAGGAAAGAAGGCCACAAAGTTGTTGTCTTTGAGCAAAACCATGACATTGGTGGCCAATGGCTCTACGACCCACATGTCCAAAAGGAACATCCTTTAGGAAAATCATCCAATTTCCTTAATGTTCATAGCAGTGTTTATGCCTCTTTAAGGATCGCTTCACCCAGAGAAATCATGGGGTTTTCTGATTTTCCATTTCTTGTCAAGAAAGGGCGTGACACTAGAAGATATCCTGGCCATAAAGAGCTGTTCTTGTATTTGAAGGACTTTTGTGATTGGTTTGGATTGAGAGAGCTCATAAGATTCAATACCAGAGTTGAATATGTGGGAATGTTGGATTATTCTGATGATGATGTTCATGTTCATAATCATCATGATCGTGTTGGAAAAGAGATTAAATGGGTTGTCAGAAGCAGAGATAAAACAGGGGATGATTATGATAAGATCTTAGTTGAACAAGTTTTTGATGCTGTTGTTCTTGCTAATGGACATTATTCTCATCCAAGATTGCCCAACATTAAAGGCATGGACAAATGGAAAAGAAAGCAAATTCATAGCCATGTTTATCGCGTTCCCGAGCCGTTTCGTGATGAGGTAAATCAAACTACGAGTATCATTAAGTCTCGTTTGATAACGATTTCGTAAGAAATGACGGTGTTTTTTTTGTGTTTGTAGGTAGTAGTGGTGGTGGGAAGCTCTCAAAGTGGGCAGGACATATCGCTGGAGCTAGTGGAAGTGGCAAAAGAAACTCATATAAGCACAAGATCAATGGATACCATCACTGAGGGTTTATCCAAAGTCATCCAAAAACATCAAAACTTGCATCTTCAACCACAGGTTCGTCTTGGTTTTGGTTTGATTGATCTTAAAAGTTCGGTTTTGCCACTCATATTTATGTTTTTTTTGAGCTTGCTTGCAGATTGAATCTCTCGAAGATGATGGTCGGGTGCTGTTCGTTGATGGGTCCTCCATCATCGCTGATACCATTCTTTATTGCACTGGGTACTATACATATCATTCTTTTCGATATTACAAGTTTAGTCCATTAATTTTCAAGTTTGTGTCTAATATGTCCATAGAAATCGTTTTTTTAACATATTTTGGGTCGGTTTGTAGGTATTCATACTCATTTCCGTTTCTTGACACCAAAGGAATAGTTGTTGTGGATGATGATCGAGTGGGTCCGTTGTACGAGCATACCTTTCCCCCATCCTTGGCTCCCTCGCTTTCGTTTATTGGCATTCCAAGAAAGGTATAGCTTTCATACGATGTCACATTGACTTCTTGTTACGTAATTAATCAAAATCGTGCGTAAATATTCCGACATTGTTATGTTTTTTTTACGAACAATTATGATGTTCGGTAAGCTAAAAAATGGGATATTTAGACGTAGGAATGCACTTTTTAAAAGGGCAAAAAATTGGGTGTGAAGTAATATGATTGTTGTTGCGCTGCAGCTCATTGGCTTCCCTTTCTTTGAATCACAAGCAATATGGATAGCTCAACTGCTGTCTGGGAAAAGGACATTGCCATCATGGGATGATATGATGCAATCCATCAAAGAGTTTTATCACTCAAGGGATGTTGCTGGCATTCCTAAACATAATACCCATGATTTAGCTGATTTCGAGGTACCACGTTTTTGTTAGACATTGATCGATCGATCGAACGAACTATATATAGTTTAAGTCTTTGATCGAAAAAACATCTTTATGTTGTAGTATTGTGACAAGTACGGCGATAACGTTGGATATCCGCATTTGGAGGAATGGAGGAAGAAACTGTGCTTATCGTCTCTTATAAATTACTTTACCGACCTCGAAACATTCCGTGATTCGTGGGACGACGATGAGGATCTTCAAGTGGCGTTTCAAAGTTCTCATTTCGCTCAAGTTTGTCCTCAGTAAACAGAAACTATTTATCATGTAAGAGCTTCAAGAATCAATTCTACTTTCATTTTTGTTGTTCAAATTGTAGTATCCAAATTAAAGACTCAGATCAGTTTCCATAGTGTATGAGATAACTTCATTTATTAAAACTATGACTATACTTGTCCTACAACGATCTTTCGATTACAAGCTCGATATCTCTGTCCCCGACGACGACGAGTAATATTTCCCCAAAGTAGAACCTTGCTACTGTTTACTTGATCCATGATTGACCCTAAGACAGTTTCTGTAAGTTTTGAAGATGAGTTACATAACCGTCTCTTCCCTCGAGTCCATGTCGTTCTACCTCGAGAATTTGCAACTTCTATCAGACCTCGTATTGCTTGAATGTCTTCTTTAACCTCGTACCTCGACAAAGTTGCAAGACTTGGAAGAATTTCTGTCTGAAAATTCTTGCACGGACTCCGCCTCACACGGCTCTTCCCGAGTTGACATGAAGACGAAGAAACATGTTTTACCGCTGCCTCGTCGTGGTTACTTACTATCAAAGAACACTCTTCCACTTTTGTTTCTTTCAACTTCAATGTCATGATCTCAAAGTCATCCATGGAATTTGGTGAAAGCTCCTTTGAGTCATTAGCATCCTTATTTTTCAAGGCTATTTCAGCAAACCAGGATAAAGATTCACATGAAGCTGGAACATACTGACAGCTGATGTTTTTCTGACAATTTTGAGCCGTCGATGATGAAATAGATATCAAACGTTCTGCTGCAATCGCGACGAGATCCTCCAATGGTTCGCCATCATCTCGAATGGAGTTTAGAAAATTTGATCCAACTTGGTCATCAAACTCTCCTGTAATTGAATGTTTCATTTCAGTGGAGCAACAAGGTGTTGCCAAACATTCTTCATTTAAGCACACATTGAGGTCGATTCGACCTTTGATCCAATTTGCAGAAGCGTCGAATGAGCGACGAGATTCTCCTTTTACGCTCTCGGACTTGGTGCCATTACTGAAGCTTATCTCAAGAGGGCTGCTTACACTATCAGACCCAATTCTAGATATCAAGTTCTTAACGCTAGAGCGATCGTCTTCAGCAAGCATAGCGTTTTCTATCAACATTTTGGAACTCTCAGCATCCAAAATATGGTGTTCTTTAGGATCTTGTGCAGATTTTGTCAAAGATGTAGTGGATGATGACAGACTTGAACTTGCAATATCTTTGTCTTGCTCTGAGTAAACAAGAAAGTTTGAATTGGCTTTGCCATAGAGCTCATGGAAAAGGATCTCCCTGTGACCAGTAGCCTCGTTTAAATCGACGTATCCAAAACCCGATTCTTCCTCAAAGTTTGGAGGATCGTTTAAATCAACCGAGACCTTAGTTTTCTCTAATAATGAGGCATTCAAATCATACTTGGCAAGAAAAGGTGTTCTAGCACTAATATGAACAATCTCAGGTATTCTCTTCATATCACAGCTCGATATTTCAGGCCTTTCGGACAATTCATCTTTTACGTTCGAGTGTTTGCTGTCAGTTGGAAGTTCAAGATCAAACATCACTTTTCCCAAAATCTTTCTCTTAGATTCCGAAACGTAAGTATTCGTTGAACAACTTCCATTCAGAACGGAGTCGGAATCTGTTTGAAAGTTCTTCCCTTGACATGAAAGTAACGACGTCTTTTCTTCACCGAAAATAGATGATTGATTATACACAGGGAAGTTTCGTGCATCTTTAGCACACAACGCAGAGACCCGAGCTGTCGTAATGCGAACATCATGCTTACTTGATTCCCTCTTCATCTCAGCTATAAACTCCCTCTGTCGTCTATAAAGTCGATGAAGTTCGAAAAGCTGGACAGTTGATTCATATTTCAGATGATTTTATAAGCTTAAAACTACGAATATTAAAAGCATCGGATTTTTAACAAAGCAAACCATTGCAAAGATATTGTAACACATAGTTCCATAATGATTCAGAGCCAAAAAAACATATATATATATATGCAGACCAAGGACATACCTGATCCCTAAAAACCAATTCTTGCTTAATCATTATCTGCTTCAACGCTTCTCGGCCACAATCGACATACAGACCCGCTGACAACGGTGATAAGAAACCATTGGAGCTATGTCGACCGTTCACCATTTTATCCTCACTGATTTGTGGCCATACACAGCTACCAACAACTCCTTTACGATCCCGACTGAAATAAGAGTTCGGATAGTTGCTCGAACCCTGCATATTGGCTCCAATACCAAGAAGTTCCATAAATAACTACAAAGGCTTCACTGGATTTCTGGAAAGAAAAGCAGCCAAAAATTGATTGGTAACTGATAGAAACATGCTAAAACTTAGCATATCATTACAGTATTAGTAGGTTTCTTACACTATATCTTTGAGTTTTGATTAACCCAAGCTAAAGATTTCTAAATTGCAACCATTTATCAGTGAACCCATGTGGAACAAGGATTGAATTCTAGTCTTAATCAGTGAACCTACCTCAGGCAGAGTTCCTTGCCAAAAGCTAAACCCAATCTACACAGAATTTCACATTGAAGCGACATGGTTCACTCCATCTATGAGTATAATACTCATCTATGAGTTCAATACTCATCTTGAGTGTTCAAACTTTAAGAGCCTGAATATCAAACACAAGAAACCAGATAAAAAAAACTCCACCCAGAACATCTTGCAGTTAAAAGAAAAGAACATGAGTTGAATGTTTGAAGTTGCTAGGAAATTTCATGACAAATGAGAAGAAAGCTGAACCATGTCCAGCACAAACAAAATTAACAACTCAGAAAAGAAAATCAAGCCATTGGGACAATCGAGAAGCCAAACAACATGATTCAGAAGCGAAGAAACAAAGATATCGCATTCATTCATAATTCCACAACAAAAATTGAATCGACAGAACCCACAAAAATTAAGGAATCCCCACATCCCATAAAGAAAATTGAATCAAGAAGGGAAGAACAGAACAAACCCAAGTGAAAAAACGAAGTGGAACGAATCATCGGGGTTTGCGGGAAGGAAGGGGAAGTGGAAAGAAAAAATGAATCAGAGGCGGGGATTGAAAGGAATGAATCAGAGGCGGAAAGCGGATAAAATCAGGAATTTAGAGAAGAAATTGAAATGAGAAGAACAAAACTTCCATTGCAAGGGACACATTTATCTTCTCCTCTCTCTCTATCTTTCCTTCTCTAATTTATGTTCCACTTTTTTTGGATTTTTTCATTACTCCAAAAAAAACTTACATAAACTAAATATCCTTTATTTTCTTTTATTTAATTCTCTACTCACTATCTAAATAACTTTCTTCTTTCCTAACTATAAATTTTCAATAATAATATTTTAAAAATACATTTAAATAATATTTCAGAAATACTTAAAATTTTAAAAGGTTTTATTAATCCATAATTTTTTGATTAATCGTATAAAAAAAAAAAATTCCAACAGAGTCTCATATTTTTAGTTCAACAATATGTGATCATGATTAGAATTAAACTTCTAATTTTTTTGGTCGAAAAGTTATAATGTCATTATTAATTGAATGATATTAAACTGTCAAGTCAAACGTCAATTTGTATGTCAATAATATTGTAAATTTAAATTTAGAATTCAATATTATTTTGCACATGGCACTCCGACCTAAATATGCAAAGGGCTAAGCTCCTTTGAAGATTGTACACTATTTCTAACGACCAAAAAGCATAGTTTTATCCATCTGACTATCACAAAAATTAATAATTTTTAATAAAACTAAGTTCGACGCAAAAAAAAAAATTATAAGTTGATACGATTTCTTTAGGTTAAATTACAAGTTTATTCCATATTTATATTATCTATTAAAAATTAATTTATGTATTAGATATAAATTAATATTTAAAATTTTGTCTCGTAAATTCCTCCACTTCCTAATATTCAAAAGTTCCTGGACTAAATTTGTAATTTTGAAAATTAAGAGACTAAAGCAATAAAAATTTATAAATTAATTGACTAAACTTGTAATTTTTTTTTTCACACTTTCAACAGGATTAAAATACATTATCTCGTAAAATTTATATTGAAATTGCAACTAAAATTTAGAGTAAAAATTGATATTATTTCGTAGAACACTCCCAAATAACCATAATGCTACGTAAACAAAAATCTAAGTCATCGTTATTTTTTCTTCCATGAGCTAGTTTAAAAGTTTCGTCGAACATATCTGTCTGATCAGTTGAATCATATTCAAGATAGTCATTGTTGTTGGTGAGGAGTGAGAGGGTACTTAGTGGCATTCTTAAGGATCTTGGAAAGGGCAGCTCGGCCAAGATCAACCCTACACACATCCGCAAGACGAACCAAGTAGAGTAGCACGTCCGAGAGCTCCTCCCCCAACTGCTCCTTGTCGGCGGCGGACCAGTTGGGAAGCCCCCTCGCCACCTCTCCCTTCCATTGGAATATCTCCGACACCTCCCCCACTTCTCCCACCTTTTTTTTTTACCATAATCAAACACACCAACAACTCAATAACCAATTACGATACCAAAAAGAGTAGGTTTGAAATGACTTACTAATGCCAGGAGGAGGTTTCTCAGACTGTGATACTTATCCCAACCTCTAACTCGAGCGAATTCCGCTACCCTCTCGCTAAGTTCTCTAAGAGGAACGTCTTTGTTCGTCTTCTCCATTTGCTTTTCCATCTCTCGCCCTCATTCGCTTCCTCAATTTAAAGACCAAACCACGAGGAAAATGGGTTATTGATGGGATTGATAATAAGAGTTCGAGAACGATTTAAAAGAATTGAAGTTACTATCTCTTGTACTCTCTTCGTAACGCAATCATCAAATGCTTTACTTGAAACAATTATATATTCCGTGACTTCTTAATTTTTTTTTTCTAAACAACAATTGAGTGAGAACAAAACATGCTAAAAGAATCCGTGAGGTCAAGTTTTTGAAATTTCGATGGTTGGAGAGGACGAGATGCTAAAAAAAAAGATAGTTGAGGATTGTCATGTCCAGCTACATATTGAAGTTACAACAAGGACATATCTAAGGCCCCAACGGCCATATAATTATTTAAATAACAAGGACAATAATTCATTTAAATAATTATCTTACGTCAATTTTTTTTTCCAACATTTTAATACATTTTCTATAATTATTAATGAAAGTAGGCATTTTTTAATAATTAATAAAATTTTAATTTTATTTTAATAATTTAGCCAAAATATTTTGTTCGACCTGATAGACCCAAAAATAAATTACAACTCTATTTTATCTTTAAAATTATTATAAAAATTAAGAATATTTGATGAATTATGATATTTTGAAATAATTTGAATTTAAGAAGAGAGAATTGAGTTAGATTATGATTTGAATTAAATTAAATTAAATTGAATTGCGAAGTTTATTCAGATGATGTTTCAAAAGAACGTAACGATCCTAATGGAAGGCCAAACTCATGGTGCATTGGGCGTTAGCGAGCGAGGTGATCTTGAAGGACTCGTCAGTCATAAGATAAGAAATTGAGTTCGATTGAAGGAAGGAAGACCAAAATTGTGGTGTGGATCAAAGTCACCGCCGTCGCCGTTGAGAGTTACACGGCGGAGAAGGTTTGGTTGGTCGCCGGAATCAAGAAATCGTGACCGAATTCGCCTTCACCTTTCTCTTTGCTAATCATTTTTGGGCTTACAACTGTGGACCATAAACAAATGGGCCTTATGATTAATGATCATGTGTTCTGACTGAATCCCAAAAGCGGTTATCGACAAAAGTTGTATGGTGTTGTGGTCATGTTTGTCCAAAGTGTGTTGCTTGTGGCCGCATGACGAGTGTAGAAGTATACGATCGTTCACCAAAATCATATCATGTACTATAAGGGAATATGATTAGTCGTCACTTCTACCTACCCGAGTTATATGTTATCAAAATCATTGTTGTTGCCTCATCTCTTTTAACTTATAACCGTGCTTTCTTTCAAATTATTTTTAACGTATTTTCTTACTCGCATTTTCTAAAATATTTCACACAAATGTAACTCGAGATTCGAGTATACGCCGACATTATAGCAAAATTATGAATATTATGGAGATGATTGAAAAGGGACATTTATAAAATTGAAATTGTGGGTAAAATTGATTGCCAACTGGTCCTATATGCAATTGCCTAACTTTAAAAGCCCATTTATTCAATTGTTTTTCCTTTTTCTCATGATATTAATTATGGTTCTTCTCTTTATTTATTTATTTATTTATTTATTTATTGCCCTTTTGATCCCTTTAGAATTAATAAATTATTGTTATTATTTAGAATAGTGGGTGTTCAATTTTCATTCTTTTACAATAATTTATTAATGTGCTATTAATTGGTGCATAAGGTTAGACTTTTATAAAAAAAAAAAAAAATAATAAATAAATAAATAAATTAATATTAAATTGAATTATTTACCTAGTATAAAGATATTTTTGACTGTTTTTTTTTTTGGACCGATATGAAATTCGGGTTAGTTGGGTTAGTGACCCGAACAACTTAAATAGAATTCACAACCCAAACCTTTATTTCAAGGTCGGTACTCACATTATTATTTATTTTTTTTTAATAACATCTAAAATTTCATAAAACTCAAATATCAAATATTCACAAGTCAAAACGTATGATTACATCGGTTACAAACCTCAAATATTTTTAATTTTAAAGGTACATTAGGGTTAGGATGTAATTCATGTTTTCGAGTTTGATTGAATCGATCAAATAAAAAAAATGTCAACCAGTGAATTGATTTTTTTATTTTCAAGAATTCAACCCCACCCCAAATTAATTAATTAAAAAAAAAATCCGAGTTTTGTCAAATTCTTGAACCATTTCAACGCCTTTAATATAATATGACTCTAAACTTTAAGGAATGACAAATAAAAGAACCAAACATGAGAATCATTTTCATTTGAGATGAACACTAATATTTTAGGTATGATTAATATTTTAACTAATTAAATTATTATGATTAATACTAAAATAACGCGTAAATAGTATTAAATAATACTTTTATTTTATTTTATTTTGTATGACAATGGTTTAAGTAGAAGTAGTTTTTGAAAACAATGAAAATGATATAATTAATTAAAGAAATGTGAATAAAAGTGAGACTTTAAAACTCTAATTTATGTGATTAATAAAGTAGTTGGAAAGGGAGTAGAGTGACCCAACCGCGTATGACTTGTGTCTTATGTATAATATTAAACTAATCATGGATCTCCCAAATAAATTAATTCAATACCTACCTTACCATCTTTCTTATAAACTATAAACAAAGTTCTAAATTATATTCTTCATCCATGCGAGTGCATATGTTAATAAAGCGGATTCATACCCAAGTTTGTTATATTCAATTAATGCTGGATTTGTATGATCCCAATCAAGATGTGGTACTAAAATCATGCCTATACATGTCAAAACTAAAATGTCTCACAGACATTGTTAGTTCTCTCTAACCCTTAGACATTGTAGTTTAAGCGAGCTACCTTATGACACATGACATACCCTTTGAGAGATTGATTATATTATTCGACTAATTGAGTTCATTATGAAACGAGAGAATAAGTGGAATCGATTGATTGTGGAAGATGGGGGAAGAGAGTGAAGTGGAAGCATCATAGGTTTGAAGAACAAACATGACATGCAAACTTCATAAACCCTAAAACCCTAAAAGGGAAACATCAATCAAACCCACACCCATCCTTTCTTCTTTTGGGGCATTCATCACAATGTTGGGAAACCAATTATTACCACCAAAACCCATGTGGGTAATTTTGGGTTAAATCATGATTACATTATTTCTTTTTAAAAGGGAAGGTCAACCATATCAAATTTTGATTAATGTAAACCAAATTCATGAATATTAATGGATTAATTAGTAATCAAACCTTATTATTTGACTTAAACTCAATGTAGCCCATGCAAGCCATGTGAAATAATGAATCTAGGGTTGGTTGTACCAACTATAACATTTTTTTTTGGGGTTAATTTAATCTCTATTTAATAACGAGAATTTAATGTATCCAAAGAAAAAAAAATTATAATCTATACTTTTATATACAGACGTCGATATTAGTCTTCGTCTTCTGCAACATGACCATGTTACCTATTTGTCTTGAATTTCCACTTCTATGAATGAAGACTAATTCAATCGAGATTGTTTTTTTCTTTTTTGAAATATTATTCAATTTAAATTTTTCGAGGAGCCATACGAAGTGTTAGGGAGAATTTGGAGTTGGAAAAAGAAGGTAATAAAATAAATTTGTTGACCATAATTATTTGTATTAATAAAAATAGTATAATGTTGAATTTTCAAATTTTGACTAATATAATCTTTCTAGACAATAATATCATTTTTATAAATACAAAAAAAAAATAAAAAATAAAAAAAATTATAGACTAATTTAATTTGGAAAATAAAAGAAAGTTGATTTGTTTTGTAATTAGGCATAAAATAGTGATTTTGGTATGGTTTTTATAATTATGAAATGTTATTATTGTGGAAATTGAATGCAGATTGAGCATATGATATAAAATAAATGAATAAATAAAAACTATAATATATACTTTTCCATGTTGGGAATGATATGGAAATAAAAGTAAGGACCCAAATTAAAGAATAAATCAACAATTAATTTTATTGCACAAAAGCAGAGGCATGCATGCCAATAGTGTGGGGCCCAATAAAGTCAATCCTGTGGGCCCACCGGCTCATCTCAAAAGTACCAAACAAAAACAATTAAATAAAGTGAATTATAATTGTTTTTTTACTTTTGTTTTCTTTTTCCTTTTTGAAAAATTACAAAAAAAAAAAAAAAAAAAAAATCACTCGATTAAAGAAATTATTTATGAGTAATTAAGTGATTATATAGTGTAAATTTTTTAAATTAAAATAATTATTTCATTATTTAGAAACTCTATGTTAAATCTTTTAAAGATTTAGTTTCGGATCGTAAAATTTTAAAAAAATTTTAAAAAAATATATAAAATTTGAGTTTGATGATATCATTTTTATAATTAAAGAGTTTGAATGTAACAAAATTTATAAATAAATGGGTGATTTATGAATTTTCTATCCCTATAGATTTAATTGTAACAATTTTATACGTGTAAAAAACTCATAATAACGTGTTAAGAGGGTTAGGAGTGATTTTTAGTATTTTTTCGATTCTTTTGTTATCAATCAAAATTAACTTTATTCCTTCCCGTACTCCATGGTCTATTCTTTACGTTGATTTGAAAGCTTGTTTTTACCTAATAAAAATATGATTCAAAATTTTAAAATGTTTAAAATTTCAATTTTAGAATGATATTAATTAATAGACACTCGATTGTCACATTAAAAAAAGTATTTATATTTCTTAAATAATATAAGAAACAATTATAAAAATTAGAATTCACTAACGAGGCTAATAAAGCTCGTGTGTGTATATATATATATATATATATAGTTTATTTTTTGAATAAAGTGGTTCGATGGATAAAAATGATTAAAATTTAACCGCTTAAAAAAAATATATTTAGTAGTCTTTCATAACAGAAATATTGTTAAGAGTCTTGGGTCGTAAAAACAAAAAAGTTTGTGACGCTGAAAGAGGCCTCCGATAAATCAGCTAAAATCGCAAATGCCTTTTATCTCATACTACTCTTTCGATACATAATCTAATGGTTTAGAAAAAAAAACAAGAAAAAAAATTCTCTATCGAATTCAACTA